GGCACTTTTGACGCGCCCCGTCCTTTAAGGGACGATTAAGGGATGAGGGATAGGAGCCACAGGTCTGGAACCTTCGACTGAGGTTAGATATTGACCCGAGGAATCGATTGCGACCATTATTTTGGCGATCAGACGAAGCCTTGGGGCACTTTTGACGCGCCCCGTCCTTTAAGGGACGATTAAGGGATGAGGGATAGGAGCCACAGGTCTGGAACCTTCGACTGAGGTTAGATATTGACCCGAGGAATCGATTGCGACCATTATTTTGGCGATCAGACGAAGCCTTGGGGTACTTTTGACGCGCCCCGTCCTTTAAGGGACGATTAAGGGATGAGGGATAGGAGCCACAGGTCTGGAACCTTCGACTGAGGTTAGATATTGACCCGAGGAATCGATTGCGACCCTTATTTTGGCGATCAGACGAAGCCTTGGGGCACTTTTGACGCGCCCCGTCCTTTAAGGGACGATTAAGGGATGAGGGATAGGAGCCACAGGTCTGGAACCTTCGACTGAGGTTAGATATTGACCCGAGGAATCAATTGCGACCATTATTTTGGCGATCAGACGAAGCCTTGGGGCACTTTTGACGCGCCCCGTCCTTTAAGGGACGATTAAGGGATGAGGGATAGGAGCCACAGGTCTTGAACCTTCGACTGAGGTTAGATATTGACCCGAGGAATCGATTGCGACCATTATTTTGGCGATCAGACGAAGCCTTGGGGTACTTTTGACGCGCCCCGTCCTTTAAGGGACGATTAAGGGATGAGGGATAGGAGCCACAGGTCTGGAACCTTCGACTGAGGTTAGATATTGACCCGAGGAATCGATTGCGACCATTATTTTGGCGATCAGATGAAGCCTTGGGGCACTTTTGACGCGCCCCGTCCTTTAAGGGACGATTAAGGGATGAGGGATAGGAGCCACAGGTCTGGAACCTTCGACTGAGGTTAGATATTGACCCGAGGAATCGATTGCGACCATTATTTTGGCGATCAGACGAAGCCTTGGGGCACTTTTGACGCGCCCCGTCCTTTAAGGGACGATTAAGGGATGAGGGATATGAGCCACAGGTCTGGAACCTTCGACTGAGGTTAGATATTGACCCGAGGAATCGATTGCGACCCTTATTTTGGCGATCAGACGAAGCCTTGGGGCACTTTTGACGCGCCCCGTCCTTTAAGGGACGATTAAGGGATGAGGGATAGGAGCCACAGGTCTGGAACCTTCGACTGAAGTTAGATATTGACCCGAGGAATCGATTGCGACCATTATTTTGGCGATCAGACGAAGCCTTGGGGCACTTTTGACGCGCCCCGTCCTTTAAGGGACGATTAACCCGCGCACCGACGGGGGTCTGCGCCAACTTCGTACCGACGGGGGGGGGGGGGGGGCGGATGACCGCCCCCCCCTGAGATCTCGAGAACGAAGCAAGATAGCGACAAGCGGTAAACGGCATCGGATACGCACGGTCAAGATCTACAATTTTTACTAAGGTCATTTTCAGGTCAGGTCAAAGATGACGTCACAGGGGTCGAAAAAGTCAAAATGGCGGCGCTGGATATGGAGAGAGTTTTTCTCGAATAACTTTCGAATTAGTCAAGATAGGAACAAACTAAGGGCAGCATCGTGATCCTCTCGTCAATCCGCATCGAATGATATATGTTGACCTCGAAAGGTCAAGGTCAAAGGTTGACCTCAGGTCACGTGACCTCGAGGTCATCATATATATCATTCGATGCGTCTTGACGAGCTGAACACAATGAGACCATCCACGCGTCTGTATCTTGTTCCTGTACGGAGTTATTGGCCAAAAACCTTTGGTGACCTTTGATGACGTCACATGACCTCACAGCTGCCCAACAGCAAAACAGACCTCAAGGTAGTGAAGGTTGATCGTATATGAAGTCATGTATGGTATATGGGGCCATTCCGACCCGTTTTAGTGGTAAAAACAGGGAGTTGATTTTTCCCCCATTGACTTATAATGGGGAGGTCGCGAAATTGACCTGACCTTAGGTCACCGACATCAAAATTCCGAGATATACAAATTGTAGCTACTAATGACCTAATAACATCCTGCGACTTTCAAAGGCCTCCGACATCTACTGTAGCTCTGGCACGGTGACAAAGTTGCAAAAAAGTGACTTGAGGTTGGGTCATTCAAAGTGACCTGGTGACCTGACCTTGAAAGGTAGGAGGTTCAAACTTGCACACCATGTGTAAAATTGATGAGGGAATAGTCATACCAAATTTCGCGGCGCTACGCGCCGCGGTTTTCCCGCTATTCGCGAAAAACCTCAGGGGGGGCGGATATCCGCCCCCCCGTCGGTGCGCGGGTTAAGGGATGAGGGATAGGAGCCACAGGTCTGGAACCTTCGAGTGAGGTTAGATATTGACCCGAGGAATCGATTGCGACCCTTATTTTGGCGATCAGACGAAGCCTTGGGGCACTTTTGACGCGCCCCGTCCTTTAAGGGACGATTAAGGGATGAGGGATAGGAGCCACAGGTCTGGAACCTTCGACTGAGGTTAGATATTGACCCGAGGAATCGATTGCGACCCTTATTTTGGCGATCAGACGAAGCCTTGGGGCACTTTTGACGCGCCCCGTCCTTTAAGGGACGATTAAGGGATGAGGGATAGGAGCCACAGGTCTGGAACCTTCGACTGAGGTTAGATATTGACCCGAGGAATCGATTGCGACCATTATTTTGGCGATCAGACGAAGCCTTGGGGCACTTTTGACGCGCCCCGTCCTTTAAGGGACGATTAAGGGATGAGGGATGGGAGCCACAGGTCTGGAACCTTCGACTGAGGTTAGATATTGACCCGAGGAATCGATTGCGACCATTATTTTGGCGATCAGACAAAGCCTTGGGGTACTTTTGACGCGCCCCGTCCTTTAAGGGACGATTAAGGGATGAGGGATAGGAGCCACAGGTCTGGAACCTTCGACTGAGGTTAGATATTGACCCGAGGAATCGATTGCGACCCTTATTTTGGCGATCAGACGAAGCCTTGGGGCACTTTTGACGCGCCCCGTCCTTTAAGGGACGATTAAGGGATGAGGGATAGGAGCCACAGGTCTGGAACCTTCGACTGAGGTTAGATATTGACCCGAGGAATCGATTGCGACCATTATTTTGGCGATCAGACGAAGCCTTGGGGTACTTTTGACGCGCCCCGTCCTTTAAGGGACGATTAAGGGATGAGGGATATGAGCCACAGGTCTGGAACCTTCGACTGAGGTTAGATATTGACCCGAAGAATCGATTGCGACCCTTATTTTGGCGATCAGACGAAGCCTTGGGGCACTTTTGACGCGCCCCGTCCTTTAAGGGACGATTAAGGGATGAGGGATAGGAGCCACAGGTCTGGAACCTTCGACTGAGGTTAGATATTGACCCGAGGAATCGATTGCGACCATTATTTTGGCGATCAGACGAAGCCTTGGGGCACTTTTGACGCGCCCCGTCCTTTAAGGGACGATTAAGGGATGAGGGATAGGAGCCACAGGTCTGGAACCTTCGACTGAGGTTAGATATTGACCCGAGGAATCGATTGCGACCATTATTTTGGCGATCAGACGAAGCCTTGGGACACTTTTGACGCGCCCCGTCCTTTAAGGGACGATTAAGGGATGAGGGATAGGAGCCACAGGTCTGGAACCTTCGACTGAGGTTAGATATTGACCCGAGGAATCGATTGCGACCATTATTTTGGCGATCAGACGAAGCCTTGGGGCACTTTTGACGCGCCCCGTCCTTTAAGGGACGATTAAGGGATGAGGGATAGGAGCCACAGGTCTGGAACCTTCGACTGAGGTTAGATATTGACCCGAGGAATCGATTGCGACCATTATTTTGGCGATCAGACGAAGCCTTGGGGCACTTTTGACGCGCCCCGTCCTTTAAGGGACGATTAAGGGATGAGGGATATGAGCCACAGGTCTGGAACCTTCGACTGAGGTTAGATATTGACCCGAGGAATCGATTGCGACCCTTATTTTGGCGATCAGACGAAGCCTTGGGGCACTTTTGACGCGCCCCGTCCTTTAAGGGACGATTAAGGGATGAGGGATAGGAGCCACAGGTCTGGAACCTTCGACTGAAGTTAGATATTGACCCGAGGAATCGATTGCGACCATTATTTTGGCGATCAGACGAAGCCTTGGGGCACTTTTGACGCGCCCCGTCCTTTAAGGGACGATTAAGGGATGAGGGATAGGAGCCACAGGTCTGGAACCTTCGACTGAGGTTAGATATTGACCCGAGGAATCGATTGCGACCATTATTTTGGCGATCAGACGAAGCCTTGGGGTACTTTTGACGCGCCCCGTCCTTTAAGGGACGATTAAGGGATGAGGGATAGGAGCCACAGGTCTGGAACCTTCGACTGAGGTTAGATATTGACCCGAGGAATCGATTGCGACCCTTATTTTGGCGATCAGACGAAGCCTTGGGGCACTTTTGACGCGCCCCGTCCTTTAAGGGACGATTAAGGGATGAGGGATAGGAGCCACAGGTCTGGAACCTTCGACTGAGGTTAGATATTGACCCGAGGAATCGATTGCGACCCTTATTTTGGCGATCAGACGAAGCCTTGGGGCACTTTTGACGCGCCCCGTCCTTTAAGGGACGATTAAGGGATGAGGGATAGGAGCCACAGGTCTGAAACCTTCGACTGAGGTTAGATATTGACCCGAGGAATCGATTGCGACCATTATTTTGGCGATCAGACGAAGCCTTGGGGCACTTTTGACGCGCCCCGTCCTTTAAGGGACGATTAAGGGATGAAGGAAGGGAGCTAGGGCAAAATAAATGTCATATTCGTGTTCCCCGTCCCGCAATTGACCTAATGGCACTTTTTGAAGCGATTCTGAATCCGACGCTGTATTCGTTGCTGTTGCTGACGCTAACTTCACGGACATAAAACTTTACACATCTTTATTTGGATCCTTGACTTTGGTTCATCACCCAATGCGTGTTGTTTGTGTGGTTTCCTTCGTGGGTTTAGGGCGTTGTTCTTTGCCCTTAGGCAAGACTGGGCGATATTTGGTGCATGGGTGTTTGTATGCATTCTTTTTGAGGGGCTCTATAATTTTTGTTTGATTGTCATCCAGGAGTTACCTAACTTGCTAATAGTAATAGAAGCTGCCTGCTTTGAGGTGTCCTACACCTGTCTCGATCCCTCTTTGATTTAAGTATTTTACCTTTTAGATCTTCGGTGTTGCGTATCCTCATTCCACGGTGGTGTTTCATTGATGAAAGCAGCACGCTGCTATTACACATGCGAAATTGGGTTTCCATGGAGATGTCAACAACTCAAAAACAGTTCATAAACTGCCAATACGCGGTCATATATATATATATATATATATATATATATATATATATATATATATATATATATATATATATATATATATGTAGTTAATGCCTACCTTAGTAGGTAGATAGGTGTTTTGTATTTTTTATGTGTTTAGATACCCTCCTAACTTTTGAGTATTTGTTTGCACAATGCTGATATTAAGCTAGCATGCCTTTTACTATCATGTGAGGCAAGCGCATTTAATCAGCAGTGAGGGGCTGGTGTGCTATAGTCATAAATTATCTACTGACCTCTTTTACATAGGTACCTGGCATGGTGCCTCTTTTATGTCTAATAGGCGGCACCATAACATGCTGTTATTTGCAGTAAACAGCAAATACTGGCACTTGGCAGCAAGGAAAATCAATCATAATGAACCTACAGCCATGAGCCAGGGGTAGAGATGATGGTCTGTAATAATTCACACCAACTAGGCTGGATTCTGAAGATCAATCCAAAATTGTCACCACTGCTTTCAGAAATCTGCATTCATGAAAAATGCAAAGGTTCCTGTTCTGACCACCATATCCCCAATGTTTTATTGTTTTGGGCCAGGGAAGGGTGGTAGAAATACTACAGCAGGCTTAGCAGCAATGCAGCATTCCACTCATAATTTCAAATTTATGCATGTTGAATTTCTCCACTATATTGTAGTAAGTCTATAGTGGCATAGGTACCCAGCAATATCAGTACTCACACTAACATGGTCTTGAAATTGCCTTAGGTAGATAAGTAGGTAGTTACTTTTTAGACTGGTGTGCATCCATAGCTGAGGCCAAGATGAGCTTTGACCCATGCTCTGACTTTGTAGTGAAGTGTGATTTTTTAGAATGTGCTGTTTGAAAACCAATTCTTGACATGACAGTGCAAGGACCTGTGACTGCCCATATCCAAAAGTTCATTTAAATGCACTACCTTTTTGTGCAGTGTGATGTACCATTTAGAAGGCCATGTTTCAGCTTCAGCCTCAAAAGTTTGCTAATATGGCAAACTCTTGTTTTGTTTTAGGCAACCATGGACGACCCCACAATTAACTTGAGTGATGAAGATGAAGAAATGGAACAGCAGAATGCACCTCTTGCCTATGAAGGGTCTCTGAGTAAATGGACAAATTATATTCATGGCTGGCAAAGTCGCTGGATGGTTCTATCAAATGGTATGTGTCATTTGTCATTTCTTGTGATGTGTGTTGTAAAAAAAACTAGTTTCTTACCCATCAATATTTTTCTTCAATCGTAAGTTGTTGTGCAGTGTGCTTCTTAGACAGTAATATACATATATCTAAGGTTAACTAAGCAGTCTTTATGTATTTGTATAGCTTGTAAATTTTCGGGTGCCCTGATGCCCTGTTTGTGTCTCCTGACAGGGACACTCTCTTACTACAAGTCTGAGCACGAGCAGGGCGTCGGCTGTCGCGGTGCCATCAGCGTCTTCAAAGCTGTCATCAAGGTGGGGAAGCTGGTGGTCGGGAACGCTGCTCGGCGGCGGTGCTTGCTCCGGAGACTGGGCACTGGGGGCAGCCCTACAGCCTCCCGTGGCAGCCAGTCATGACAGCCTAGCAGCCTCCTCCACAATTAGTGTCCCAGCGCAACTTTCCTTGCCTTGGTTTGGTTCATGATGCAAAAACTTTTTGACTTCAGGTCTGAGGTCACCAACTATCAACAGAATCATGTGATTTATCCAGTGAATCTCAACAATTTAACGACCTTTGTTGGTTTAGGTCGCTTTCCTGTGTGTGGTTCTGTAGACCAGATTTGTCTCGGCCCGTCCCGATCATTTTCCGTCTGTGTAAGCCGCCCCTGACCGCCGCGCTGTCTCCGGCAGCCTCACGAGTTCGATGAGTGTCGGTTCGACGTCTGCGTGGGCGACTCGGTGTGGTACCTGCGCTCCAACGCGCTCGACGACCGCAACCGCTGGATGGAGGCCATCGAGCGCGCCAAATGCGTGAGTGGCCGCCCCGCCCGACTGCTGAGTGGCCACCCCGCCCGACTGCTGATACCGCCCCGGTGTCGTCCACCAACAGTGGTCTGGTCATGAGATGTGACAATTGTTCTATCTATTTGTCTGCTATGTGTATGTATTATTTGATCATAGTTGGCGGTATCCTCATCTTTTCCGTTATGATGCGATAATATGACCGTGTTTGGACTACCCTTTTCGTCTGCCGTGACAGTTTTTGTTTATGCATGCTGTGAGAGGCAAAGATAGGGATAATCTACACATGCGCGCGTCTTGTCACTGCGATTACCAGAGATATCATATAACCCTGATAAATGGACGGGACTATTTGTAAATTATCAGATAGCGGTCGATTATTCGCTGGAAATGTGAGAACTGTGCTGACTTATCGCTACTCTGTCACAGGCGGACTCGGCGTATGGCAGCGCCAACAGTTTGAAGCGGCACGGCTCGGCGCTCTCGCTCACATCCAATACGCTGTCCGGCTCCGGCGTCAAATGGTGCAAAGGTACGGCTGTCTGCGGCGAAACGATGGCGTCTGTGCCGGTCGCCGCCCCAATGCAGTCTGTAGCCACCCCTGTCACAGAGCACCCGGGGTGTCTGGAACGCTTAATGCGCTGATTTCGAGTGATATGCTAAAACACTAAATCACGAAAGCGGTGTGTGCAAGCCAAATGTTTATACATGCGCTTGCACGCAATGTGGCTGTGCGAATGCGTATGCCACAGCGTTTTGTAACAAAAGTGAATGAGCGAAAAGCATGGTGGATCTCCTTAGAGTACATGCGATTTCTGCGCTCCCTCGCCCCACTGTCGTCGCGGCGTCGGGTGTCAGCGGCTCTGCTCTCGCTCCGCCAGGTCTGCGGGAGAAGGTCGAAGAGCTGGAGACGTTCCGCGACATCCTGACGCGTCAGGTGGACACGATGCAGAACTACTTCGACGCCTGCATCTCGGTCACGGACGCCGGCCGCGGCCACGGCGTGGGACACCCAGGTGAGCTGTTGTTCCCGGGGTGTGGGCGTATGACGCTCGTACAATGACGAGCGGCTGGACTGGAGGGGACACGGTCCGGTGACTGACTCAGCACGAGGGTATGCATGTGGTTTAGTAGAACAGCTCATGGGAAGCACGACAGCATTCGTTCATTTTGAGTACGCATTAGTTTGGGTTGGCTCAATGTGGAACGACATTTAAGTTTCGGTGAACTGCTGCCCATGCCCGTTGGGTGCGCTGCTCGCGCTCACGCTGCACTGTGCTGTGCGTCGCAGCCTGGAGTGATAGCGACGACGATGCCCTGCCGACGGAGACGCGAGGTGACGCCGCCAAAGCCCGTAAGTGGCGCTCGGGACACCGGGATGGGTGTGCTGTTTGGCAGTGAGCCCGGCCGATGTGGAATGCAAGTCGAGGCTCAGGTGCACGGGTGTAGGTTTGCTGTCCGACCATGGACCCGCACTGTCGGACTCCATGGGTCGGAATATGTGGGCCGTGGGGCACCAGGGTGGGGTTGTCTGTAGCCGGCGTTTGCGGTGGGGTCGGGTGGAACCGACATCCGTCCGTTGACAGGCGTTAGCACGTGTGCATGATTCATAGATCTATCTACCCGTGTGCCGGTTGGTGGCAGGAAATGACGATAGTGCCCAATCAAATGTTCGTGGCCGGATTCTGAGGCCAGTTTATCAAGGTGGTGACCATAAATAACAGTGTTTCATTTTTCAGCGTTTTTGGTGGCAAATCACACCTAATGGGGAAAATATTTTCATCCCTAAAATATGAATGACCAACTTTACTTCATCTCTGAAAAGAGTTTCATGTATTCCCAACAGCCAGTTCACTTGTCAGTTGACAGTTGATACACCCACATCCTTTTGTTCCACACCCTGTCAAGATCCTGACATGAAATCCTGGTTTATCAGTTAGCATAAAAATTGGCATTTCACCATTTTGCAAAAATACTGCAGTTATTTACTTTCTTTTTTTTTCATCCTAGGATTTTTTTCTTCATCGGCACACCCAACCAATATCCAATTTTAGAACACTGATAAATAATGAGCTGTTCGAGACGGCAACCAGATCGCAAGGAATCTTGAATCCCAGCGCTGGCTTGTTTTGAACGTTTGGCTCACGCATGTGTCGCTGTGAGTTTTTTCTTCTAGGTAATGCTTTAATATGATGAATGATCTAAATGCTTCGAAGCGATTTGTCGATGTCGAACTACGATGGCGTGCTAGTTCATAAAACGTCATAAAAACGACAATACATGTTGTCATTGACTTCATCGAGTCAGATCCCAGCTATAATGTTCATTTTGATTACATATCTAACGAAAGGGTTGGCTGCATGATAACGTATGGTGTGACAGCTTAGCATAACATGGTATTTATGTGTGTTTATGTGTCCAAGCGCTCTTTCATCGCCCCAACTTTGGAAGTAGCGTGCCGCTAACGCCGCTGTTTTGCGACCGGTTTCAGCACCGACTCCATCGCGAGAGGCGTTCCAGGCGCAGGGGCTGGATCCGATCGACTTCAAAGGAGAGGCCATCACGTTTAAGGTGAATAGAACGTGTTCGAACAGCGACGAAAGTCGAAACAAGACTACGATCGGTACTCGAAGCGGACGTTCGATGTACTCTGAAGTAGCTATGTCGTCATAGGTTTTGAAATTAGCGTGCCTTTTGCTTGCTGAGGAGATCTGCGACTCGAGTGAATCTCATCGATATTGCATGGTAACAAGCAATTCAATTTGTCGATGTCCATATTGCTACATCGGATACGTACATATTGTCGATATAGCAAAATCTACATACATTGATAACGCCTGTGTAGAAATGCGTCCGCTTTCCACTCATTATCAATCAATTAGCTGCTGTTAAGATGTTTCTGTCGCGTCACCGGCATTCAAGTACGGCCGACTACCGGTGATTTTTACCACCACCTGCGCAATATGTAAAGGATGGGGATTGTGCTATGTGCATGTCGGTATTTTGACAAATCTCATGAAGTGAACGCTACGTGACTAAGGGTAAAAAAGCCGGTAGCATGTCGGTGTTGTTGTATTTAGATACGGTTAACACCGGCAAGGTTAGGGCATAGTTGCGCAAATGCCTCTGCAAAACTCGTGATAGGTTACTCAAGGGTTTGAATCGCCATGGAACTTTGTCCTAAAAGGCAATATCAAACATTACCGTTTCTATCGTTTTCTTCATGTCACCATTGAATGTTGGTATTTGGACGAAGAAAATGGTTACAATAGTGGCCGGTGGGCTGCTGTTCTTATGTAGGCATTTACGCCGCTCAAATTCCTCAGAGAGGGGAAAATGTACTTATTCCAGTTAATCGAATCGAACTCTGAATAGTGAATATTTCATCAGGTCAATGTTTCTCAAAGAAGATATCGTTCCCTCCTAATATTTTCTCCTTATCCGGAGTTAGTCGCCTTTCCGAGTCGGGAGGACCCCGATGTCCGATATAGTGGACAGACTCTGTGCTATGTATCGGTTAGCTGCCCTATCTAGTGGACCGGACAGATCGCCCGTTGTGTCGGCACTGGCAGGCTTCCCTGTATACTGGACAGACTCTCACTGTGTGCTGTCTGTCGACAGGCGACCACGTCGGGCGTGCTGTCCACACTGCAGCACTGCGCCGAGCTGATGGCGCAGCGTGAGGACGCCTGGCGCCGGCGCATGGAGCGCGAGCTCGAGCGGCGCCGCCAGCTGGAGGAGCTGCTGGCGCGCCAGCAGGAGGCGGCCGCGCTGGCCGCCGGTGCCGGCACGCCGCCGCCCAGCAGCCCGGCCAGCGCCGGCTCCAAGCAGCGGCACATCATGTTCGGCGGACCCGACTACCAGGTCAGTGGGACGGGGCGGACTGGACGGTGCTGGACACTGAGGTACAGGGCCACTGGGTGGGACTTCACGGGACGTCTGGAAACTGGACCCTGGGGATCAGTGCATCGTGCGGTACACTAGGTGACTGGATATGGGGTCGGTGAGTCGAATTGGTCCGGGACCGGGACTAGACATTGGACTGTGGTGCACCTGGGACAGTGGGTCGAACTTGCCTGGGCTGGGCACTCATGGACTCTGGCCTCTGGGGACAGTAAGTGTCCAAAAGACGAGAGTGAATAAAGGACACTGGTGTTCCGGGTACCGGCCCGTGATATTGGGGTAGTAGGTCGAACTGGTCATTGTGAAACTGTGCGTAGTCAGCAGCTTTTGTGACTCACCAGTCAGCAGGCTGGTCCTCCAGTTACACATCCTGTCTGTACGGGATGCTTCAGCGCTCCGCTCTATCTGCTGTCGCCGTTCTCCCTCTGCTCCCCTCTCTACCCCTCCCCTCCCTCTGACTCAGTCGGCCCTGTTCCTTGTGCGGGTGCGCTCTGCACGTGCGTGGTGTGCCTTGGCCAGTCATCGGCCGGGTGCAGGTGACCCCGGCCCGCTGCGGTGCACGCTGAGAGGCGGCCGGACGACCCAGTCATCCTCTCTGTGTCGGAGGACGGCTTTGTTCGGCGCTCAGTGTGCGTTCCCGCTCGGCGCGCCAATCAGCTGTGTCTCTGTCACGGTCGCCTGACCAAAGTTACGCGCACAGTCCGCTTAGTCAGCTGTTGCCGGAGCCTAATTCCCAAGTGTAGCTCAGTTAGCAACTAGCTGGGGCCTAATGTCTCGACACGGTCCACAGAAGAACAGCTTTGGTTCAAATTGAGCCGCAAAATCTCTCCGGATTAGATACCCGTGATAAAACTTATTCCGGGTGCAACGCGTATCTATTTTACGTTTCATGTCTAGTATTTGCTCGTGTCTCGGTTTGGCCAGGCGTGGCGGTTTCAGTCCCTCAAGTTACTCGGGGCTGCAGCAAAAAGCTGTTTGTGTCGTCATTGTCGAGTGGTGTGGCGAGTTTGCTTGCGCCGTTCGATTTAGCAGTACCGTTGGCTGGCTGGTGGTCCTATAAAAACCTGCAGTGATTGTGTGGTGCTGGCCGCGACTGTTCCACTCTCTCGAGTCTCTATGTAGGGCCGAGAAAAGGTGTGGACATGAAACTGTCAGGTCTTCTGACCGCAGTACTCGGGCAGTGCCATCAGCATCGAGCTCTATCTGCCACTCCACTTACTGGCCGAATACCCCTGTGGCGTGCTGCTGTCAGCTTCTGACTGCTTCGTACATATATCCGGGTCGTGGGCACGTTCTCGAAGGCTGAGATTTTATCCAGAGGCTTTGCCAGACAGTGGCCGCCCGGGCAGCTCGGGCGGAATTGAAACGATTCGCCCAAATCTGAGCTCACGGAGCCTGAGTAGGTCTAAATTCAGGGTCAGCCGGCGGCCGGAGTGTCGGAACTCTGAACGATCCTTACGAGGCTGAGAACACCTTTAATCATGTCTTGTCGGGGTGGCTCTCTTCCTTTTTGCGGCGCCCAAGGTCTGTCGATGGGTATCAGTGATACAGGCTTCACCCAGCTCTGCTCGGCAGGGATAGCTTAGCTCATAGCTGGCAGCATCTCAAGTAGCTATGGTTGCCCGTCGAATTCCATTCCAGGAGAACTTGCTCGGCACGAGATGCTTTGCTTTGTTATCCGCTGTGGTTTATTGAAGCAACACATTTGCTCATATTTACGGCGAAGCTCCAGCAGCTTTTCTAGCGAATCTGGTACGATTATTTCATCATCAAGTGCAAACAGTGGTAGTATGATAATGTAGGTATGAAAAGTTTCAACCGATATCGTCAGTGGTCAGCACCATCAGTGTACTTTTACTTGAGAAATTAGTTCCTGGCTGGTTCAAATTCGTTGCTCGTGTCCAAAAAAAATATATGTATAAGCAAATAATGAACTTAAAGGGACCCTCCCACCTTCAAAAAAGTTTATGAATTTGCATGAAAGCGATGTCGCTCGGTTCAGAAAGAGCGAAAACGAATATCTACCAAATTTCACCGAAAAATATTCACCGGTTTTCAAGATATTAGACTTTTACTTTTGTTTACTTTTTGGGATCTCCGCTGTTCCTCGCGACTTTATTTGAAAGTGCGGCACTTGTTGCGCGCAAAGCAGCATATACCACCGCGTGCTACAAAACGTTTTAGTCAAACATTTAAAATCGTTAGATATCTGCGCTGACGTCACACATTCGGAGGGGTATTCCTATGCATTAGCCCCTCTGAATCAAAATGCTGCAATTTTGAAATTAAATATTTCCGATTTAAGGCATTTCTCGATGTTGTGAGTGCCGAAACCGGTAATTGTGAGCCAGGGACCCCATTTTGGCTATCTCAACTCAAATCTAATGTTAAGGTGGGAGGGTCCCTTTAAGTTCTGCACATCTTCGAGAGTTTGATTGGCCGGCTGGGGCAAGACCCGTTGGTAGTATTTAAAGCAAGTTTCATCGACTGTGTTGTAACCTGCATCAATTTCATTGTTCGTGCGTCATTCTCTGACGGTGATGACTCATTCTCTATTCGATGTGAGTTATTTATTCACGTCATGTTTGCACCTCGCATTGTTTTGGTTTGCGTGAGTCCGTGACGTAGTTTGTTGTTGAACGCAGCCCGCTCTCACTGTTTGTTTTTAATTCCCGAGGGAATGACGTAGTGCAGTTGACATTTTCTATCGAACAGTCCATTGACTCGAACCGGTTCCAATATTGGTGACGGAGCACTGCGAGCTTCAGCGCTGCTCGGGTCGGGGATGCCGACCGAGCGCCTGTGCTCTGGTCAGTAGCTGGCTGCAGCTCAGCTTCTGCAGCCGTTTCCTCCCCTGTGCCAGGCGTGAGGCGAGCTGAGAGACCGGGCGGCCCCTGTCATTAGCCGGCTGACGGCCGAGCTGCTGCTGCTACAGCAGTGCCCTCCGCTGTCCGTGACAGGCGTGAGGCGAGCTCAGAGACGGGGCGGCCCGGCCTTGATGGGCGATCTATGGAATCGCCGGTATTCCCTGTGCTTGAACGTGATTTTGTTACGTAAAGTTACGAACGTCACGGCTGCCTTAGCTGTTATTGCAAGTGAAAATAATTTTCATAAAAGCTTCACGGAAGATTTTGTGATAGCTGAACACGAGGACCATAGACGGACCCAGGAAAGCTGTTACAGAGCCTGGGAATCGTGAATGAGAAACATAAGGAAGCTTGGCCAACAATGAACTGTGGCTGATAATTTCTCCTCATAGTGCGTTGCAGAACTCTTCAATGTTTCATTGTCACTCCACTCGTAGCGAACAAAGCAGTTCCGCCACACTATCTGCATTCTGCAGGATAGTCATTTGAACGTTAGGCCCCTTCCCTCGGAAGTTGGATGCGTAAATGTTGATTGTGGAACTCTCATCAGTTGATTCAGATTGTTATGTCTCTCGTTAAGTTTTTTTTTTTTTAAATTGAATGCTCCCGAGTCCCGACTCCCCATGCTGCAGGGGGGGGGGGGGACAGTCCCCATTCTGGCTCCCACTGCCTGTGGCCTGTGGCACCTGTTTTCACTGCGGTCGAGGAGGCGGCGGGCGTCGTCCCCTGTATACGCGGGAGGGAGTCTGGGAGGGGGCGGCTGGTGTGCGTCACATGACTGGCCTCTGTTTACGTTACCTCGGCGGGCGCCGGCGGCCGTGCGTGGGACCGGCGGCGGCGCTGGACGGGACGCCTGTATCTCCGGCGCGGTCGGAGCAGCAGCGCCCCCGCTCTGGCACCGCGGCCCGCTCCGTCAGCAGGCACAGTCTCCGGCAGAGCGACCCCGGACGCCGGCCGGATGTAGTAACGCCAGCTCGTATGGCGCCGTCGCCGTACCGCCTCTGACAGCGGGACTGGGCGGACCGGGCGCGGGTTGTCGGCGCGGACCGGCGGCGCTGCTCGGCGCGGACCGGCCAGTGCCAGCCGACGGGGTGTGGGGTGTGCGCCTAGCGTCTGCGGCGGCTGCCGGCGGAACGCGATCACCATGGGACTCCAGAAACAAAACAGCCTCTCCAGCTTCATCCGCAAGCCGTTCAAGAAGAAAAAGAAGTCCAAGTCGAAGCAGGTGGCTGACGGCGTTGAGGCGGTGACTGCTAACGGCGCGTGCTCGTCGCCGCTGGGGCCGGTCTGTGAGCGGTGCGCGCCGCTCGAGTCGCGCGTGTCGCAGCTGTCTGCCGAGCTGCGGGAGCTGCGCGCCGAGCTGGCCGCGCTGAAAGGCAGCGTGTCCGCGCTGCAGAGCCAGCCGCCGCAGCGCGCCGGCCGACACCGGCGCGACTCGTTCGAGTCCTGCTGGGACGCCGGCAGCCTGCGGTTCTACGCCGCTCACGAGGTACGGTCTGTCCCACGGGAAAGGCCCGGCCCGCCCCGTCAGTCAGTCGGCGCACGCGGGCAGTGAGCGGAGCTAGCGGCTGACGTGTGCGGATCTATATTGATGGGGTCAACAGCGTTCGTTTTCCATTAGCGTTGGCCGGTGGTGGACAAACTCATGCATTCCTCATGATTCAGGGGCGACGCGATGGCTGGCGTGTCGGGAGTGGCCTTGGCGGCGACGCCTCTCAATCGTCACGTATCCGGCCATTAGTGGGCGGCCCACGCCCGGGGGCCAACAGGGCGTTAGACCGTGATCCCACGGACATGAGGTTTTCAACCTGCTTACACACGTCAGACTGTCTCATCGTCCATCAGGCTTTGAAAGAACGAGCAACTCATGTAAGTCGGTCTGGCGCATTTCCACAATCGACCCTAATCGGATTAGCGCTGCCGTTGTTTCCTTTGCCGAAGGGTTTCTCGCCCGTATCCTCTGAGCTGACACTCGATCCGGGTCCCGGGGTTGGGCGCGGGAGGCCGCGGTATGGGGGCGCCGGCTCGGGTCAGCGCGGCCTCCGGCCCCAGTCAGCGCGGTCGCCGGCTCATCGGCCGGCCTTGCCGTGTCAGATGAGCGGCTCCGGCGGTCCGGGTGTCGTAACGCGGCCGGCCGCGCCGGCTGCTGACCTTGCTGCCCGGGCGGGCGGCCGGCGTGCCCGCGGGAGCCATCGGTGACCGCCTGCAGGTACCCGCTGCCCGGAGGACGCCCGGTCCATCGGGGTCACGGCCCGGCTCTCTGCTCTCTGCAGCGCCAGCTGCACGGCACAGAGCCTGGACACGGCAGTCGCACTGGACTCTGACCGAGGGGAGCGGCCCATCGCTCAATCGCAGTGACGGGTGTAGGATGGAGCGGCCTCTGCGGAGGAGCGGCCGACTGGCTGGTAGAGCATGCACCCCTCTGCTGAGCTGTAGTTCGCGTTGACCTCCATCGACGCTACTTTTACTAGTTCGCATCACTTAATACAAAGCGTAGACGAAGAAGACCCTTAAAGCGAAGGGACAGTCGCCCTATATTTTGAAACGTCTCTTTCAAAACCTTTACTTTCGTGATACGGCGATAAGCTAGTCACAACTTTTACAATTTCCAGTGCTCTGGACAATCTGTTATCTCTCGATATGGTTGGAGATCTGCTGATACTGCAATGATACCGGTGAAATATAAACGCAACGCATGTGGTCACCGCTTCGTAACTGCTGCCGTCAGTTTCTGCAGCCAGATCACCGAGCGTGTTATTATGAGTGTCTGGCCAGCTGGAGTGTCTGTCCAGAACTCAGACATGGTTCATGAGTCTTGGCCAGCTGGTGGGCACTGACCCCCGGCTTCCGTCTGTACCTACCCAAACAGTTGTATGTACGAGCCCTAATCAAATCAAAAATCAAATGGGGCCCCTAATCCTTAGACCGCCGAAGACCGTGTAAAAATGAGCTGAAATAATGATTGAAAAGACCGGGAGGGCCCATCTCGTTCCCGAGCAGGCCCATATGAGTCCATAAAATGCCCAGTAGCGCAGCCAGAGGGATTGTGGTGAAATTTCATTATGCATTTCTCGTATGCCAACTGTACATATGTGCATTTGAACTACGCTCCGTTCGGTGCTCGGCTTCCACCGGTCCCTGCATGTCGGGACTGGTTCGGAATCCGGAACTTGGCGTGATGTTTGGCATGGAACCATCGCTGAACGGCCCCGGCCTGCATTGTACTCTGGACTGGGGAGCGATAGCCGCTGCCGTGCGGGCGAACATGCGGGCAGTACAATTGTTACGGGCGATCAGATTCCGGTCCCGCATTAGACTGTGTCTGAGTAGCGAAGTCGGGGTGATGGGTGCAGCAAATGCAGCAGGTGTTACTGAAAGCATTTGCAGCCAGGGGCGCGGGAACTACTTTCAGACGGGGGGGGGGAGGGGCACACCATAATAGAGATCAACCTATGTAGGGTACCCCCAAATCTGGTTTTCTCACCGGTTTCAGGCCACTTATTTCTGATCCCTTGGCTTTTTCAACAAAAAAAAGAAATCATTTGCAAAAAAGTGCGGTATTCCGTCTCGAAGTTGTGGGGGCACGGCCCCAGAGTTGGGGGGGGGGCAAGCTGCCCCCCCCCCCCCCGGTTTGCAGCAGAACTGGGGAAGCTGGAAAAAGCGTTGGCACATACGAACGGCAGCGAACTGGGCATTCGGTCACCGAACGTGTAGTCACAGCCCACCTGTATCCCTTGGGGCGTGGGACTATACTGAAAGCCTGTTTTGACAGGTGGTAGGTAATAATCTTGTCCCTGATCCCATGCGGATATGTCGCTGGTGGGTGTGGACTCTGCATGCCTTGTCAAACATCGACAATCCATATAAATTTCACGCTTGATAGCAGCGAATCTCTTGTCTCGACTGGGATGACATATTCCTAGACAAGTTTGACGAATATACCACTCCTTAATATTCAGATTACATCACACCCAGAACTCGTCTGGCTAATGCCCGTGTCTTCCGCCGTCCTAATCTCGGGAGTGCCGCGTTCCGGCTCTGTCTGCAGTCTTCCCCGAACAGGTATCATCTCTGTCCCGGTCTCATCTCTATCCCTCCTCCCACCCCATGGGCCTGGGTAGTGTCACCTTACCCTGTCCGGTCCTGTCCTGTTCTACCCTGCCCTGCCCTACCCCGCGCCGTTGGGATGGATTGGCCCGCGCCGATGTCGTCCCGCGCGACTCGTTGACGGGCTGTCATCCTATGACAGGCGCCACGTGTGACACGGACCTTGCGCCACGCCGAACGGCACGTGATGTTATGGGCTGTGTTTGGATGGCCGCGGGTGCCGCTCGTATGGCGTGTGGGGACGTGTCGCGTGCGCCGGCGTCCGACTCTGTCCAGAGTGCGAGATGGGACAACATCGTAACCTCTTGCTCACCGGGAGAGGTCGAGGCCGGCCACCGAGCGGAGGCCGACTGTTCTGGGCACGATGGGTGCCACTAAACCGCTGCTACAGCCTACACCAGGTGTGTGTTGGCTCTGATCGTGTGACCGATACGCTTTGAGCGACGGGACCCGCTCTGGGGGTGTGACTGACGGATTTTTCTAACTGCGTGACATGCTGGATCAGCTCCAGTCGTGTGACTGACGGGCCGTGTGATTGACAGGCCCGCTTCTGACTTTGTGACTGAACCCGCTGTGACCTTTTGACTGCGACTGGATCCTGTTCTGATGGTAATTTCCCACGTCTCCCCACAGGAGGGTCCACACAGTACGATTGGCGAAGATGAGTTTTTCGACGCCGTCGAGTCGGCCCTGGACCGCATCACAGAGGACCAGGAGTTCCGCGACAAGATGCGCAAGAAGCAGAGCGTCAAACCGTCGGAGGCGCCCAAGAGCAGTCAGCACTCTTTGCTGAAGGAGGTGGGTGACTGACGGCTAATCCAATACCGGGTAATTTTTGGAGGACACCAGACAGAACATCACGATCTGTTATCGAGGCACAATAACACCCCAGCTATTTTAGCATTCCATTCGCTTGATTCACCTTTAAACATAGCTTATTTTGATTGCTTGCTACTACTGACATACTAATACTTTCGTATATTCGTGATTTTTGCGCAATCCATTGGGATCAGCTGGAAAATGCCTCGCAAAAGTTGTATTCGCGTCCGTCTTGCTGTTTCCCGTGTGTCGGTCTGCCTTTGTCCGCTCAGTGTGGCGTGGTCGTGCCCAGATCGTTTCGATGGCTGCGTTTCGCGTGCCGCCTTCCGCAGTGCGTCTGTCAGCGTTCGTGGGAGGGCTGACGCAGAGATATTTGATACTTGTGTGAGCGAATGACACCACGCAGCCGTGCGGTGGTGTGCCCCGTGTGACTGTGCTGACTGTGTGCCGCACTGTACTGTGTTACTGTGTGCTCGTGTGACTGGGAGTCACTGATCGTTTTGACCGTGAACTTCTTGTTATCCCGAATGACTGTGTGCCCCGTGTGACTACTTAGTTTGTTGTGATTGTGTGCCCCGCCGTGTGACTGTGTGACTGACCGTGCGTTGGTGTACGCTGTGATAATGTGTGTCACTGTGATCCCGTGACCGTGTGATGGGATCATTGGTGATCCCGTGTGACTGTGTATCTATGACTGTGTGGCTATGTTACCCACTTTTCCGTTTGACTGAGTGGCCATGCGCTCCCGCACGGTCACAGGTGGAGCGCGTCACCCAGCAGCAGTTCAAGTACGCGCTGGCCGGTGTCGACGACGGCGTGTGGACTATCTTCGCCGAGGAGGGCGAGATGAAGATGTACAAACGCGAGGAGGAGGTGGACGGCCTGGCCGTGGACCCGCTGAAGGCGGTCCACTTTGTCTCCGGCGTCACGGCGCACGAGGTCTGCCACCACTTCTGGTCGCCCGACGTCCGGCTCGAGTGGGAGAGTGAGTACCGCAGGGTCACCGGCCCGTTAGCTGCGCTCACTAACACTCCTGAAGAGACCGGCGCGGGGGAGACTCTGGGCTGACGTGTGGTGGCTGTTGTGTGGGCTCTGAAACGGGGAGTGTGAGATTCATCCAACACGAAATAGGGTGCGCCATAGCATATGTTTGAGCAATATTTCCATGTTGTACACAAGTAATGGCACAAGCTTTTTGTTGTTGCTTCTGCAAGGACACTTGCATCGAGCATGAGTCACCTCTCCCTTTCCAAGCAGAGGCTCAGTCTCGTGATCCCAGTTTTGAGTCCGTTGTTACATAATAAGTTGCAGACCTTAGCCGCATTGCTGGCTGATCTCGGTATAAGCGGTCGGTTTACATTTTCCAACTCGGCCGACCGGTCAGTCAGCTGTATGACCTTCGCTCGCGGTTGGACCAAACATATCACAAAATCCCACGGCTGGGTGTCGCTCAGTTCAGCGTCTGAATCTCTGGCGTCTGGGGATCGGGAATGGCCGGCCGCTGTACGGGCCGCGCTTAAACAGAGCTCATGGGAAATTCGTGGCTGGTTTTTCAGGGGAGCGATCATTCTGGCTATACGTAAAAACTTTTATAGATAAATGCTTTCAGTTTTTTGAACTAGTTTCACCATAATAATCCGTTTGACCTCAGCACGTAAGATTATCAGAGATCATGATCAGTGCTTTATATACCCGCTCTAACGTTATTGTCCCGTCTCCACTGCCATCGTGGAGCAGGTGAACGCTCAGTGCGTAGTACCATCTTTGACGTTAGTGCCCTGTCTCCACAGCCACTGTTTAGCGGGTATGCGTTCCGCGCCCTGTGTGCCCTCTCTGACGGCGCTGTCCTATCTCCGCAGCCACCGTGGAGCAGGTGTACCCGACTGCCCTGTGTACCTTCTCTGACGTTAGTGCCGTGTATGTCTCCACAGCCACGGTGGAGCAGGTGACCATCCTGGAGACGGTGGACGAGCAGACGGCCATCAACCTGCAGGTGCACAAGCGTGTGTGGCCGGCGGCGCAGCGCGACTCGCTGTTCTGGTCGCACATCGAGCGCCAGGTGGTGGACGGCCAGGAGTACTGGGTGGTCGTCAACAACTCGACCGACTACGCCAGCGAGGTGAGAGCCGCCGCCCCTCTGACCTCTGACCGTCCCCTCCCTTCTGACCGGCCCGACCCCGCCGCACTGTGCCCGGAGTGACTCGGTACAGGCAATGATCTCAGCGACAGAACTGGAGGGCAATCAACCCGCGCGACAGCTCAACAAATCGGTATTGGTTCAGCGTGGGTGTGCGTGTCTTTTTTGCAAGCCGCTTCGTTCATTTAACCCTCAATTGACCCCTGGCTCAGGACCCATCGGGTGGCAACCTCTGGGCGCTGGTTGTGCGTGTCAATATTACCATATGTGTGGCATGTAACATTTTGATGCAATCACCATCACATTTTTTATAGCAGTCTTGTGACTGCTTTTTGCTGGTATGTTCTTTGTTTGATGTTTCCTCATTTCGTTAACAGACCGTCACACATTAGTTTGACTAATTTTTGATCCGGGGGGCGGGCGCTGCACGCTTATGAAATTCTTCGTCACCAGGGCATGTGCTTACACCGTCAATGTTGTAGGGGAGAGTGGGGCAAAGCGGCCACCCTAACGCTTCTCACGATGCCAACGCTTGATTTTTAAACTTGGAAAGATTCTTTCTATACCAATGTGATCCCTATTAAGTTGTCTTTTATTTCAACTGCGTTTTATTTCCAAAGGCGTTCACATATGAAAGATATTGACAAAACTTTAAACCTATGCATATTGGCCACTTTGCCCCATACCCAGGGGCAAAGCGGCCACCGGCGTCTTCTCAAGTCCCGATATGAGAAACAAAATAGTTGTCTTGTGTACGACTACGGTATTTGATGGTGACAAGGTTAAGCGAGGATGGATGTTTACTTTATCATCTTCCACCCGTAGGTAAACAAAGAAAGGATTTTCATGAAAATAAACATTGAATTGCATTATTTGGTAACTCATGCAACTGAAAACTGGCCAAGATAATTGCATGACGACACATTTGAATATAAATTATGTTTTTTATCCAGATGGAAGCAACTTATGGCCAATTGGGGGGTGGCCACTTTGCCCCGGCCACTTTGCCCCGCGCATACCGTCCGAGACAAAAATATTCCAGCTTAGCTATTAGTGGGGTAAAAAACATTAAAATTGGTAGAATACATGTACGATAACCATGCAATGCGTGGACAAGAACGCTTATAAAAATTCCAAACGGTTATGGAATAACATAACATTTAAAAATTGTAAACATAGTTGGTAACCTGGCAAGAAATGCTTTTCCGTGTTTCACAGAACAATGGTGATGGGCCTGAAACCCCGGTCTGGCTCATTCGAACGACCGTGAAGAGAAGTATAATTGGAAACCATAAATTGGAACTGACGCCAGTCATGAAGGGCTAAAACGATGGGTGGCCGCTTTGCCCCGGGTGGCCGCTTTGCCCCACTCTCCCCTAGTTATGTAGCGGCACAGTCTTTGTTCGATCACGGGCGCGGATGTAGAGATGTGTTTTTCTTAGTTGCTGGCCGGATACACTGTGCACTGTGCGGCGTTGTTTTGTTCGTAGCGCGCTGGGTGTGTAGGTAGCACAGGTCGCTCACTGGTCGGTCACCGCCGCCCGCCACTGTCACAAGGCGCCCGTCTTCCGGTAGCAAATGCGACTGCATCCACCTTACCCCCGCACGGACGATCCACGCGCCGAGGAGGGATGGCTCTTCCTGGTAAATGGCCGCCGCCGCGCCAGCCGCGCGCCGCCCGCACGTGCCTGTCCGTGTGCGTGCCTGTGTGTCTGTCCGTGCGCTGCGCCTGCCGAGATGGCTGCGGTCTTCCGACTGACCTCTGCCGCTGCCCGCTCCGCGACCGCATGGCTGAACACTGAGCATGCGTGTGAGCAGTTCTCACGTCTGCGTCTTACCGTGCATGTCTTAGAGTTTTGTTGTCGTTCAGTCCCCGTCCTTCCGTAACGTTGTGTGCCGATTGTGACTTCATATGTGCGTTTGAGTGTCGGTGTGTACGTAATTTGTAAATATGTATGTGTGTGAATGTGCAGAATGTATTCCCTCCAGTGTGAGTGTCAGCTGTGTGTACGCATATTGTAAATATGTATGTGTGCGAGTATGCAGAATGTGTTCCCTCCCGAGTGTGAGTGCGGCTGCGTCTCGGGGTCCTGCGCCGGCCCCGGCAGCTGGGCTGCCTTCCCTCGCCAGCCACTGACCGAGCTGGGCGGAGCAGAGTGCCCAGCCCCCTCCTCATGCCGTTCCTATCACTCGCTCTGTCGACGCCGCCGTCTGTTGACGCTGTGTCTGATTCCGGCCCTTGTGCATGCCATCGGTCACTGGCCGAGTCTGCTCCAGACAGCTGGGGCATTCCACGATAGATCGTACCAGGCCCGTCACCCTCATCTCTCAGATTTTAATGAAAATCGGTCCTAGGGGTAATCATAGGCCCCAAAGACGCCTGGCAAAATATCAGACTTCTCAGATCAAAACTTTTTGAGTTATATTGCATTACATTTTTTTAACTTCGGTTTGTAACGGTGAGTTTGATGGCCTATAACGCAGGAACGGGTTATGCAACCAACAAACGGGAAACAACACTAAGCTTGCGATGAACCAAAAATTGATATTACTTTTTAAAAATTCTAAAAAAAATTGATTGCTGAACAAAAACCTTAATCTTTTTTCATTTGCCTCTAATGACTTTTGGGACCAAAATTTTTCACATTTTTATTTTTCAAAATGAACTTCATGTCATTGCAAATCGACATGCAAAAAATTAGAAAGGTGTTCTTTCTATAAGTTCCTCATTTTCCCGCAAACAAAATGGGTTTCGGAGGGGTTGATACGACCCCAGCACGCCGTTTTGCTTCTAATAGAGGTAGAGCCTCGCGGAAAAAACGAACGTGTGTGCCGTTACAAGTCGCAGCGATTGGTACCCAATTTTAAGGTCTCAGGTTAACCGGTAGCATCTGAGGTCAGGTCAAGTGACTGAAGTTACGGGTTCGGTTTTTAGTAAATAACTTCGCAAAAAATGGCCGCAGAGCCGCGATTTTGGCATCATTGAGTTCGCCTAGCTCAGGTGCGTCGAATGGTATACTTTTTGTTAGGGTGAGGTCAACTTAAGTAGTTGACCTCGGGTCAAGGTCAGGTCAGAGCCCCTCAGGTCACGAAGCTGGGCAAAGGGTATCCTATGGCATATCATTCGATTCGGAAGGTCTTCCGGAGTCCATTGGTGGCTTTCCCGACTCTCTAGCTCAATTTGATCAGGAGTTATTGACGAAAAACTCGTACGACCCTAGTGACGTCATAAATGACGTCACGCAAGGTTAACAATGCAAAAGTGAAGCATTGGACCTTGCAAGGAGTGCATCAAATCACGATACCATGTACGTGAGATAGTTTTAGATCATTATCGGCGCCAAAATAACAGATTTTATATTTCCCCATTGACTTATAACAGTGATGTCACGTGACTCATGTGACCTTCAAAAATTCCCAGATATATAAGTTGTGAGACCTCTGGAGGACACCATGTATGCGTCCTGTAACTTTTATTCTCGGACAGCTATGGTCATTGGCGTCCAAAACAATGTCAGAACCAAACAGCCTTTTTCACTCTCGCGCTTATAGGAAAGAGGGTTGGATGAACCCTCTTTTCATTTTTTTCAGATGACTAAGACTTCAATTGAAATTTCAGTAACCCGTGATGTCACCAGGCAGCTTTACCACGCCATTTGTAAGCTCCCCGCCCAAAATCACTATTCGAAACCGTTATCGTGACGTAAAATAAATACATTTATAGAAAGAACACCTTCCTAATTTTTTGCACACTTCTTAACAATGAGCTAAATATTTTTTTAAAGAAATAAAAATTCGAAAAAATTTGGTCCCAAAGTCCAAAAAATGCAAATGAAAGAAAACTCGATATGTCATATATCAAAAATAGCGTATTTTTCGAAATTTCAAAAATACATATTAATCTCTGTTTCATTGCAAGTTCAATGTTATCTAACATTTGGCATTTGAATAATCCGTCTTAGAGTTACAGCCCACCAAACTTAGCGCTGCAAAGCAAGATCCAAAAAATGTTATACGCCATAACTCAAAAAATACTTATCTGATAAGCCTGAAATTGTTACAGGTAGATTCAGAGCCCCAGATTACCCCTGAGACCAATTTTCGTCAAATTCCGAGAGATGAGGGTGTCAAATTAGAAAAAAGTGGTACGATCTATCGTGGAATGCCCCAGCTGGGGCATTCCACGTCAAATCGAACAAAAATCGGCTGTTTTGCACCTTACCATCAGCGATTTCAGTATAAATTTGTGAGCGAGTTCCTGTGTGGCCCCGGACATTACATTGATGTTTTTTGCACAATCTGACCACAGGTCTTCTAAATATAGGGCATCAAATTTTTACAAAATGTTGCATCTTTATATTTTTGAACGACCATAACTTTGGTTGTACTTGTTTGATTTGAATGAAATAAACCTTACTGTTTAGGTAATTTCTTAAGCATTTGTTTAGAATTGCACCTACTTAAATATATGACTTTGAAAATTGCTTAACTCTGTTCTTAAGCACAAATATTGAAATAGCAAAAAATACGTCACCTTCGATTTGGCTCATTTTCATATATTTTATTGCCTACCATATTCTTAACAACCTGTGAAAAAATTAGAGTGGGCCATTCATAAGTTTTGAAGAAAATTGCACATATGCAAACGTAGGGGAAGTTGGGGCAATGCCGGAGTTGGGGCAAAGCCGAAATTCGAGATATTTCGAAAACCGTAAGACATGGATGCCACCTGTCAGTGATGCTCTGAAGCTTAAGTGACTACAATTATCGCATGTTTGTTACGAGTCGTCATTCGGAATACTTCGACTGTGAGGGCGCCAAGAGCGTTTTCAAGGTACGTTTCCCTTGTACTACATGCGCCTTTGAAGCTGCATTTCTTACTCATTATGCTACCGTTTGTCTGGCCAATTCGGTCAAGTAATCTTTAGCATGTCTTTGCATAAGTGTGCTGCCTATTTGAAATTTATACAGCACGTTGAAAGGTTATGGGCCTGCAAATGAAAGTATGGCAGGCTGGGGTAATGCCGAAAACGTGCGATTACGCACGTGTTAAAAGCACGCTACGTGGACTTTACTGCTGTAGAATAGCAACGCGTATTTTTAGTCACGCAAATTATACTTTCAACCGACACAACGGCCTGTTACCTATAAGGAATGATTTACCTGGCATGTTCTTACTATATCACACAATTATAACTTCCAGTGTGCACCGCGTCCTCAAGCTATTAAAACGCGTGTCAGCTTTGATCAATTCTGGATAAAGTTTGAGATAAAATGGCAAAACATCAATGTCGGCATTCCCCGTAGATCATTTCTCCCATTTTCGGCTTTCCCCGCAGTCCGGGGCAACGCCGAAAAAGTCACTTCTTTGATATTTTTAGTTTGTGCGCTTAACGGTATGCGAATTCATCAAATGCGCCTGGTATGTTTGAAAGGCAAAAGACTGGCCTCTCGAATGACGCCAACAAGAATAGCTTATGTTGTCTACCTTGCGTGCTACGGGCGTCAGAAAAAAGTCTTCGGCGTTCCCCCAACTTCCCCTATGTTAGCACGCGCAGTGGAGGGGGAAGAGCGAATTTCGCCCACCCCTCCTGTTTTTCGCCAATATCTCATAAGATTAATGCGAAATTAATTATGGCTACCTGTCAAGAATTGAATTGGACATCTCATCGTGCAAGCAATAAGAAAATCGGTTCACAACTGTTCTAGTAATAGCGGTGTAAAGTGAACATCCTGTCGCCGCAGCGACGCGGCGACTCGGCAGCCGGCGCCGACCGCTACGCGCCGCCTGAATTGTAGACTGTGCCGGGACGGAACGGAACGGTTCCGTCTTTACATCGCGCTCCCTACCGCTGATTACGTTCGATTCGCGTCAAATTTTGTGAGAAGACTAAGAAATGTACAGGCAATCCTATGGTGAAAGAATTTTGAAAATCGGTTGGTAAACAATTGAAATATGAACGTGTAAACACAAAATTGTGATTGCTGCGTTTCCCGCATCGGCCGAGCCCGCCTCAGCCGGCGACATGTTACTCTTAGCAGGCCTCTAACTGCCATATGTATTATTGGATTAACTAGAAATTCCCCATACATACTAAAAAATGTATGTTCTTCCGGATAGTGAAGATCAAAAGACGTGAAGATACCGTTGCGTGATAATGTTTTCGTTGAATTTACTTCATGATGCATTTCCACACGGCTCAAAATTCACCGCAAAATACCGTTTGCCTGAGACACTTTTACTATGGAACGTGAATGCTTGACTACGATGACTATGCATTTCCATTCTCGCAGAATTTGGGATATCACTAACCAGTATAGCGCCTTTTGGGGCGACTAACGGAGCGAGCGAGGGGGTGAGTCTTGCACGTGCGAAATTTCGAGGGGTACCTCCAACTGACTTGTGCACGGCACCCTACTGACCGGTCTCTAGCGATGTGCCAAATTTGAGCACAATCGGCCCAGCCGTTCTCGAGATCTGGGAGCGGCACCCTGCACGTGCGCACGTGCAAAATGGGTCCCAACTGACTTGTGCACGGCACCCTACTAACTGGTCCCTAACCGTGTACCAAATTTGAGCGCCATCGGTCCAGCCGTTCTCGAGATCTGGAAATGACCCCTGCACGTGCGCACGTGCAGCAGCA